TAACACGCTTCCAGCATCCTCCCTTTATCCTGAAGGTTCATGAATGTCTGTGCATCTGTTGAGTTTCAGTGATTTTCCTCAAACGAGCACCTTCCCCATTCTTACGATGCCTAAAAATAGTTGAAAAACATCCGGATGCCATCAACATAGGGCATCAAATGTAGCTCTTGCGGTCAATTTAGTAGACACTTCGCACGATAGTGCCGATGGCGCCACGATGGTGCATGGCGCCTTGGCTCACCTAAATCGTGCTCTGCGAGGTCGAGAGGAACGCGCTGTCATGGCGCTCAGACGGGATGCGTGTTCTTGCTAATAATTGGAAGTGATGAGTTTCTGGCCTGTTCTCAGCACAAAGTGAGCTTAACTACCATGCGCTGAAATGCTGTCGATGTCCAGTTTCACTGATCGATGGATTCATGGCTGTCACTGCGCTCGTTTGCATTCAATGTCCAAAACTGAAGATGTTCCGTGGGAGTAAGTCAAAGCTGTATGATCTTCATGGGTCTTGGAATGAAGGTTGGTGTCTAAAATTGGGAACGCTGTATTGCAAGAATATTACAGCATTTTCATGCATCAGAATATTCCAGCGCATGGTGGATGAGGAGAGCGTGATTTAAAATCATCCGTGTCCGCTACTACCAAATAATATGTTTATTCGAGGCAAAAATGAAGGTCATTTTTGGATGCTAGCATACAGACATTCTGAGCGCTTACAAAACAAGAGTGCAGGACAAGCGCCAGAGAATGTCTTTTTCATCTCGTAAACCAGACGAATGCGATAAAGACAGATGTGTGTATTTAAGTGGAGCTGTTATGCAAAACTCTTTAATGAGGGTCGCTGTCCGTCAAAACGGTGGTTCGTTATGACGGTACAATATTTTCAGGATTTAGACCTTATGCGATGCGAAAACTGGGGCCAAATCTTTGTGGAACTTTGCCCGCAGACATTTTTCCTGTGACAGCGACAAATATTCCGTAGAGTAGAATGCCAAAAACTAGTCAAGGCGCCCACGCTATTGCCATATTGCGGCGGTGTGAGATGCGCCGTGGCTAGGCCGAAAAGCTAGTCGGTGATTGGTGAACTGTGGACGCAATGCGCATGCGCGTGAGACCATGTACACCGGCCAATGCTGTAGAGATGCGGTCAACGGGCAGCACGCAGTATGTGATGTAATGTAGGCTTCGGTGAGGTAATGTGCCCACTGGTTTTGCTCGGAATGTTTGAAGTATGAGACGCTCGGGTCGGACGAGTGGTCGTTTGAAGCCGTCACTCCATCTCAGTGTCCACTGAACGGAGCGACAGTAGAATGGGACGTTTTGGTTGATATTTTAACTGGAAATCGCATTGTGCAGGATGTACGGTTACGCGTGTCATTTGTCGCGTGCAGAAAGGCGGTCAACATTTATTTACCCGATTTTGATGAGATGTCGTGTTTTATGCCATATCTCGGCATCCAGAGCAGCCAGTAACGTAAATATAATTTTAAAGCGTCCACCAATGTATCGCGTACAATACGCGTGGCCAGCGCAGCCTTGTGCAACAAATGGCCGCACCAGGAATCACCATAAAACCCGGGAATATCAGCCTTTCAAAACTGTACATTTACTATCGCTGTCGTCAAAACATTTTGTCAGGTTTACGCCGAAATTTGCACATCGATTGCCCCGATTGATTTCATTTTTTGCTCTATCCATTTATTTTACACCCCTGATTATTTTTTTTTGTTTTATCTTGCTCACAAATTAATTCTAGCTAAATTGTTGCAAATTCATATTTTCGCAGCGTCGGAATGCCACCGGTCATCCCTCAGTCCCCGCGGACGAAGCAAAACGACGCCATGCGCATGCGCACGCGCAGCGCTAACCGCTCACCCGCAGAAACGTACGGCGGCGAAACAGTAGAACACAGCGGCTACCGATAACATTACTTAAATCCTTGCTAGAAACGGGTAAGAGTAGCTGCACAAATTGAGAAGAAAATGACTTGCAAAGACTGCGTCGAGAGGGCTCATGCCATTTCGTAGTTATTTTGAAGCCATCGGTTTATGATTTACCTTTTCAACCAATGAAACAACGCTCTGTAAGTCTGTAAAATAATCCGCCCCAACGCACAGGTATGGCAGATACAGGTATGGTCCAGACAATCCTGTTTTACGGTGGGCATTGACTGAAAAAGGGTCTGGTCCAGCCCATGCCACCGTTAAATGTGCTAGGTATAGAATATATGATATGGGATGTATGGAAGAAGCTTATCAGCGTGCACAATCCCAAGCTTTTCCTTAAATGGAACAAAACAAGAATCTACAGCAATTGTGTCTTGGTGTCTTATGGCTGTTATTAATCTATCGCGTGTCTCCCGGTAATCTGATCCTACCATCCGATCGTGTTATGCCAGGCCAATAGCATATCTCGCGGCGGATCTGCACGCTAATATGAACTGACTTTTCGTGCGTCCACTACCACCGGCAGCGGTCATACCTGTCAAGGACGAACAGCCGGCGCCTAGAGCGATTTGAACCCACACCGCCACGGATTGGTGGGTCAGAATACAGGAGCCCTAACCAACTGAGCCGTCGGAAAGGCCCCCGCACATTTGACATTCAATACACTGGCGTACAGGCTGTACGTTACGCTTGCCTACACTATGGGTTATGCAATTCAGACATTTCTCTGGACGTTCTCCACTTTCTACATATTGTCGTGCATGTGAAGCATCCTTTGTTATATACAGCATGCTATTCAAATACACCGAATAAAACAACACTAAGTGCGCCTGACGGCATTAACTACATGCAAGCTGTGTTGAGGCCACTTGGCCGGTGACATCTCAGCGATTTGGGCGGATTTACGCGTAATGATCACACACTCCGGCAATCGCTTTACTCTAGGATTTGACGCCAGTTTGCAGTCAGACATACGCCTATTCGGTAGCGTTGGACTGCCTCGAACGCTCGAGGTAGCTCACGCTGATTAACAAACAGGAGCCACGCTACAGACATTTGAGACATAGCATTTATCACTGGACTTCGATAGCATTACGAGATGATGATGATATCTCGAACCATGCGATCGATCGCAGCAAACGATTGAAAGCTGCTGTTGCTATTTAGTATTACAATTGTCGGACATTTAATTACATAATACTGTACAATCAATGAAATCACTCATATGATACCTAATTAAATAATACCACATACAACTTTTCCCGATATATTGTATCAGTTAGCCAGCAGTGATACAAAACAACGTCAGCCGTTATCATCAACGCCAGCTTTCAGTTGTTCGATTGGAACTGAGATTTAATCGAGCATTTCCAGTAAAAGTGTCGATGCTTGCCTACCATTCCTGACCCGTGCACTGGTCGTGCCAGCTGGGCGTAGATCACACGAACGCAATGGGGCGATGAACGCCGACACGTGTGTGACACGCACCAAAGCAGACCAGGTGACGTGCGGGTCCGACACCAAATCGCGCCAGCGCGCCTTGGTGTGAAGCCGCTCGCGTGCTGCGAAACGGCTCGGCGAGTCTTGGTGTAAAACTTTGTTGCAAGACCGCATGAAGGAACTTTTGCATAACTTTTAGGTGCCAGATTTCACAGCGGCAGGCCTTGGTGCAACGTGAAGGCATACTTAGACGTCTCCGTGGAACAAACGGGTCGCTGACCGGCCAGAGGGCTGCTCCAGCGACCCAAAGGGCGAGTGACAAAATGGCGGATGTCAAAAGGCGTTGCTGAGGGCTGCGCCTCTCAGCAGCTAGGCAATCATGTACGTGGCCGGAAGGGATCCTGAGCGATTAGAGAGGCCTCTTAGTCACTAGAGGGCCCCTGGGCGGCCAGAAAGGACCCTTGGGTGTCATGGAAACTCCACCGGCCAGAGGTGCCCCAGTGTCCACAGTAAGTCTTCAAGAGGCCAGAAGAGTCCTGAGCAGCTAAACTGTTTAGGGGCTCCGAGTACACAAAGGGCTTTGGGAGGTCAATGAGACCCCTGAGTGACCAGGGATCCTGGGTAATGTCTGGGTCCCTACATGTTCAGAAGGGGCTCTGAAAGGCCTGGAGTTGCTTTAAGTAGCTATTAACGCACTCAATCGGCCAGAAACCCCACAGTGGCCAGTTCGGGCCCACTGAGGAGAAGGAGAGTCCCGCAGTGGCCAACTGGGGCCTGATGAGCGGCCAGAGGAGTGGGAGTTGGTGCTGTCGAGTTTTATTCTTGCAAGAAAGGTCTTTTTGGCTTCTTTGATTCATTCGAATTTCCGGGACTTGGGGGTCTGGGCGCCCCGGATCCCTCGAAATCTGCATCCATGAGGTTTGGTCTTAAACTTTGATGTCGTCAGCCCCTGATTTATGTGACAGTCCTCGTTTTCAGCCCAGCAAAGCTGCACAGCATTGTCTTATAAATACGCGTCCGTTAGATTACTTCTGGCTTGGCTAGGTTGGCATAATCTTGCTTAGATAAGGATTCATAAGCTGCTATCAAGAGCTGCTTGGAATTAAGACCGTTGCAAAACGCTTTCAGACGTTTTACGAAGTTAACCTAAATGAAGGTAGCTTTGTTCTTTAAAGTACCCCCTCTCGTACAGGGCAACATTTCAGGCGCTTATTGACGATGCAACAATGCATATTATATTTAATATCATGTGCTTCTCGGCAGTACTATTATGCGGTCCGTGATGACATCACACAATAGTGCCGCCTTTGACCAGCCGCCACCGCAGGTAACTTTTCCCTTAAACCACATCTCCTTAATATTGATCCCAGCACAAACAACTAAAAATCCAACAGGGCCATTAGCACAGAGGGCGACGGAGGACAGGCAAAAGGAGAACGGAGAAAATGGATGATTGATTCAGACTAATTGATGCCCCGTGTGAAGGAAGCGCAACAGTGGCCAGTGTCCTGCACTATGCGTCGGTGAGTGGGGTGTAGGGGGTAGGGTGGGGGTGGGGATGGGGGCCGCTGACGCCGGCCGAGCCAGGCGGAATGGATGCCTACCTGGCGGTGAGACGGGCGCCGGCTGAACCGGCCTGAAGTTCCGCTCCGGGTCCGCCTTCTTCTCCTTCTGGCTGAGGCCGCCGGTGACGCTGCCCTGGCGCAGGTTCGCCTCATACTGCTTCTTCTTCTTGTCGCCGAGGAGCCGCATGGTGAGCGCGGGGCGCCTGCGGGCGGGCCCGGCGGGCCGTCAGTCACGCACTCGCACGCGACGGCCGCCGGCGGCGGTGCGGACCGGGCCGTGTGCTGACCGTCAAATGCCGCCGTCCGGCCGGAGGCAAGGTCGGGCGGGCTCAGGCCGGGCGGAACGGAGCCGGGCACACACACAGCTGGGACGCCCTCACAGCTGGCCTGCCCCGGCACACGATGGATAATAGCCGACGACAGCTGCGTCGACGGCGCCAAGTGCTGCTCCCGAGCGGGTACCGGTACACACTGCGCATCCCGCGGGACCTGGCCTAGATCCGCACCTCTGCACCAGTACACTGCGCATCCCGCAGAACCTGGCCTAGATCCGCACCTCTGCACCAGTACACTGCGCATCCCGCGGAACCCGGCCTAGATCCGCACCTCTGCACCAGTACGCTGCGCATCCCGCAGAACCTGGCCTAGATCCGCACCTCTGCACCACTACACTGCGCATCCCGCGGAACCTGGCCTAGATCCGCACCTCTGTATCAGTACACTGCGCATCCCGTGGAACCCGGCCTAGATCCGCACCTCTGTATCAGTACACTGCGCATCCCGCGGAGCCCGGCCCAAACTCGCACCTCTGTATCAGTACACTGCACTATCACGCCAGCGGCAAAATGCTGAGCTTGACGCCAAACGCCACTTCTCGACTAGCCGTATACACACATTTATTCTGGGAGGCGAGCCTGCCATCACGCATTTTGCCACATCACGAATATGGTCCGCATAATTTCAGCGCTCACCCGAGGTTGGGGTTCCACAGCGACGTCTGGAATATCTATGGGGCAATACGGGTTCTTTTTAGAGCAATTTACGCGTTGCTGCCATCGGGTTAGTAGAAGGGGGGCGTCTGTAAACTGTCCTTTCAAAAACCATTTTTGTCGAAAAATGTCACCTGTGACCGAGAAAGTAGTCACGCATAGTTAAATTCGGATAGATGCATGACATCATTAATTAGAAGTGACATTTTCTAGAATTTTTAATTGACTGGCGCGAGTTTCTTCCACTTTTTAGGACAATATTACAGACAAGTTTGAGCTTTATCTGTCATTCTGTGACCATGGTATATTGGAACATTGGGCGTCATTCAACTGCCATTTCCGCGAAATTACCGATTTTGGATCAAATCAAACATTTAAGCTGTAGAGGAAAAATGCATCGTCGTGTGCAGGGAAAAATGAAACCATCTGATAATGTGCAGTCCAACACAATAAAATCAAACTTATTCTGTTGGCTGGTCATTAATCACGATCTGGTGCTGGTACAGAACTAGGTCACAGAACATCAAAAGCCATACATGATACAACATTTATCCATTCAACGGACATCATGCGCGCGTCGGTCGCGACGACAGTCTGATAACGAGCATGCATGTAGTGATCGACTAATAACACGAGCAGTTTCTACACGACAGTGGCGGCAAACTCATCCCGCCGTTGTTTTCATAGCAAGCTTTGGTGTATCTAATTGAGGCAGTTTACCTTTAGCCTTAATCCCGTACTCAATTCCATACAAGTATTGGTCAATGTGAATGACATGTCATGACGCAAAGTCATATTGAAGAAAAGAAATCGTAAAACGGCAATTCAGATCTTAACTTTTCTCGCATTATCTGGGCGTAACGCAAAAAACGTAACTTAGATAAAGCAGCACTGTTTTCCAGCGAGGCGCTGCGACCTGAATCTAAGGTAAAAGATATTCGAATAGGTTGCGTAATTTGGTAAAGTACCCTGGCATCCCAAACCTTGTGACTGGATCCTTTAATGTAGCCGGAGGCATAACGCTCCATAGAAAGGCATGTTTGTCGCATATATCAGTGCACATGCAGGCACCGGCGCACCCTGCCCATTGTAACAAAAAGCCGTCAAAACAAAACTCTCGCCGACAGATAAAAATCTAACAGTCGAGCGGATAAACGATGCAATAAACATTGCACACCTTGGGCCATAAGACACGGAAGGTTTGAGAGGTGAAGCGGACAATTTCCGCAGTACGGGGGTGACTTGTTCCTTCAGGGCTGATCCAGCCCCGAACCCCGCCACCAAAATCCGTAGCGCCGCTCATGGTCGTCATAAGGCGTCCGTCTAGGGGCCGCCGTTACTTTCCGATCAGAAAGGACTCGTGCCTCTAGTGCCCCACCCACCTCCCCCACCCCCTGGATTCGCCACAAATTTTGCGTTTATTGGGACCTGGGACCAACTTTCGGAAGCGTTCCTGCCACAGCGTCTTTGCGTCGGGCGCAAAAGTGCGCCATTCCCCGACATGCAACAAAAAAGTCAAAACTTGCGAACGCCACGGCGTTTGGGCAAAAGCCATAGGTCTGTCAGTTTTAGTGCTGTTTTAGCTATCTGTCATTGCGGCTTTACGACGCATTCAGCTGCTGAAGCTATATGGCGTCGCCAGCCTCTCACCCTGGCAGGAAAGGCGGGCACCGGGGGAAAAAGTGCTGTTTTAAGGACCAATCTTAGACCTTGGCAACTGGAGCACATAGACTCTAAAGCAACATGACAGTACATAAGGGAACGTCCTCTCTGTAGATCACAAAACTAGCTTAACACCGTACATAACTCGCAAGAACGCGGTCGATCAATTGGGAAGTGGCATTGCCACATTTGCATTGCTACGCTCTTCCTACGGTTGTGCTGAGTTCCGCTATGCTTTCAGTACACGGAGATATATTGCGTCTATACTATGCCATCATGGCTAAGCTATCGCACGCTTTGCTGTGCTTGCTTCACACCACACTGATGCGGCAGGTTGTGACATCTGGTTGATAAACACGCCCTAGAGCGGACCGGTCTGACGGAGCTGCGGCCCCGGAGAGCGGGCCGGTCTGGCGGAGCCGCGGCCCCGGAGAGCGGGCCGGTCTGGCGGAGCCGCGGCCCCGGAGAGCGGGCCGGTCTGGCGGAGCCGCGGCCCCGGAGCGCAGGCCGGTCTGGCGGAGCCGCGGCCCCGGAGAGCGGGCCGGTCTGGCGGAGCCGCGGCCCCGGAGAGCGGGCCGGTCTGACGGAGCCGCTGCGCCGGAAAGCGGGCCGGTCTGACGAAGCCGCTGCCCCGGAGAGCGGACCGGTCTGGCGGAGCCGCGGCCCCCGAGAACGAGCCGGTGCTGCGGCACCGCGGCCAGTCCGGCGCCTTCAGACCACCCGACGCAACGGCCGCCGCCAGAGAAGGGCTGCGCGGCGCCGACATCCTCGCCGCCCGGTGTTTACACACGTGTCACGGGGTCCGGGCCGGCCCGCGGCCTGCGCCAGACACGCGGCGGACGTCACCCGTTCGCGCGCGCACGTTCCCCGGCCGCGGCGATGGGTGCAAGGAACGGGGCGGCGTGTTACGCCGGAGCGTGGGCACACACGGGCCGGCACCGGGTCTCCTTCGACTGTCCTGGACGGCTGCAGACATCTGACATCTGTCTATCTTACGTGCCAGATAGACAGACTTGACAGACTTAACAGACTGGGACAGCCGCAGATGAGTCCAGTCCGCGCCAGGTGGGTGTTTCCATGTCATGTTTGTTGAACGGAATGTTCGGAACAGGAAAAAGTGGCTTTCATGCTGATATTTGAAAAAAGGCGCTGACCGGACTCCCAACTGCTGAGGCGCAGTGGTGCTTAGCGGGCTCAGGTTATGGGATCACACCTATGCACGGTGGGGTCAGACTTTGCATTCACACCGATGTGTGGCGGGACGTTCATGCTACATTGTGAATCATCGTGTACACATCAGACCTACGTGTGATGAACACCTCTTTCTCCGGGATCAGGCGTATTTACGATGATGGTAACGATAACGTTTTGATACGTTAAAAACATCAGCGATAACGTTTAACGTAACGATAACTAACGCTTTGTTCATAAATGCAGATATTAACATTACATCGACAACGGAATAGCACAAAAGAAATGCACGCTTGCTGAAACTGAGCGCATTACAAACTTAAAGTGGTCTACGGGTAGAACATTCAGATTTCAAAGAGCAGTTTTCATCTTCAATAAATTACAAACGATTGAACGATTAGCATATCTGACTGTTCTACACCTAAGACACGGGGCCAGCCGGCCGTCAGGCGTGATCGCCTCCACATCCTGACAGGCGAGCTGCGTCCGTGCAGCACCAGATCAGCGATGAGGCGCACGGCTGCAGGATAAGATCAGCGTAACGAGGGAGCTGTAGGATGACATGAGCAGGGGGGTGGGGGCAGAGCGGCATCACAGCATGCTCTCGTGACTATTATTTAGCACTCACACACGGCTCTTTAACTACACCTACATTCTGTGTCGGTTACTGTACTATAGTAACTGTGCTGCAGTTAGCTCATGAGAATCTGTCTGAATCCTCTGACTGTGAGTTTGTTTGTGCACGCCACTAACTGTCGGGCACCGATGCTTGTGTGCAGTCAGCGATCTCTCCTGTTTCTACTATTTATAAATCCTGTTGGCATAACACGTAACAACCATCTTCAAGATGGCTATGCTGGATATACACAAGTGTGTGCATAAATCAGCGCGACGAGGAAACTGTGAGATAGGACAGATCCAATCTGGGGCGTGCGGGACATCACATCAGCGCGATGGAGGGCGTTGGAGCAGATCAGCGCGCGCGGTGAGGAACTGTAGGACCAGATCAACGCGAGCGATGGTTGGCTGTTGGACCAGATCAGCGCGCGTGATGGGGGGCTGTTGGACCAGATCAGCGCACGCGGGCAGGGGCTGATGGACAAGATCAGCGCGCGCGATGAGGGGCTGTTGGGCCAGATCAGTGCTGACAATCAAAGAGCAGTAGGGTCAGATAAGCAAGATCGGGGACCTGTGAGTCCTGCTCGGCGTAGTGAAGATCCGTGAGATCATACACGCGTGCTGTGAGCGAGTCAGGGGATTAGGTGAGAGCGATGCAGGGTATGTGGAGGCAGATCAACGCCACGAGGGAGCTGTGCGATCAGATCGGCATGATGAGAAGAACACGTGATGAGTCAACGCCACGCCTGTAGGCTAGGATCGGTGTGATGAGAGCGCGTAGGATCAGACCAGCACGACGCTGTGAGATAAGGTCGGCACGAAGCTGTGAGATCAGACCAGCGCCCGGCGGGCTGCGGAGATCGGCCGGTGTAACTGTAGGATGGGATCAGCATGACGAGGGTGTGATGGGATCATGTCAGCGCAGTGGAGGAGCTTTGCAGTCGGGTCAGCGAGATAAGAGAATGTCCCATCCGATGGACGAGAGGCTGGGAGAGACAGCTCACGACGGGCGGCACAGACGCCCACGCAGATTGTATTGCTATATGCACACAAGACGGGTTCACTCCTGAAGAAAAGGCCGCAAGCATAAATTCACGCACGCGCGGCACCAAGCCCAGCCATGGTCCGGTGGGCACTGGGTATACTTTGGCATTTGCCGAAAAATATCGCACAAGCCAGAACGACGATGACTTTGCCGTCGCTTGCAAGAGGCTGTCAATTTATGCCAATGACTCCGGCGTAGTGATGACGCTTAGAACGACAGACATTGACGACCATTCGTCAAACGATGGTAAGGTTTCACGATAACGAGACCAAGTAGGACATACATACTGTATTGAATCAAAATGCCTTTTGGAATATTCTTCTGTCTGAAGAACTTGCTATTTGCTAAAGTCTGTTGAGAAAGTCTGGTCGCTGACAGTAAGGCTGCTTTGCCGCCGAGCAGCGGGGGTGTCGGCATCCGCCTAATAAAATCAGAACTTTGCTTTTGCGTCAACAATCTCGAGCATGCTAACCGAATGATTCATAGTGATTTAACGACATGCGCAATAGTGCTGATAGCTTGCTGTTGCCATGCGTGCCACTGGATGTTGCACCTGAGTCGTGCGTGTTTACGCACCGCCGAACCCAACTCGGAAATCGATCACTCTTTACTATATTGGATCTCCTTGGTCGCTTCGTGGCTTTTACATTACCTAACAAGAGGATTGCAACTTTCCAACATTCAGTTTCCAACGTAGCTGTCTGTGTGGCTCTAAGTGTCGCGATGAATGGAGGTGATGATCGTGATTATCTGATCACTGGTTGCGTACAAAGTGGTATAATATTTGACGCGCTTTTTAATGTTCCGTTCACAGAGGCTGGGATATCAGCGTCAGCTCTTCGGCAAGATATGGACGTAAGCATATCCTCAATATTCACTTCTGTTTGTGTGTCATTTTATGCGATCGAAATACAAACACCGTTAACCTGCCCAGAAGATATTGGGGTCAAACCCCACCGACCAAGTCGGGGTTATGCCGATGCGGGCGTGAAAGGCTTTTTAACCATAAGAGATCCCGAAATGCTGAAATAATGTCACTCTGACGCTCTGTCTTCGGCTGCAATGTTACGCACTAAAGAACCGCTAAAACTGAAGATAGCATGTTCCGAAAGTCGTCCCCAATTAGCCTGTTGGTACGGCGAAAACTTGGAGACAGTTACTACAGTGAACAAAGCAAACTTGCGGCAAAGAGGGGTTGGATGCCAATTGAATCGGGACAGTGCGTCGTCACAGTGACACGGACACTGACAGCAAACTGATCGCGAATACGTCACAGCTTCTAAAATAAGGCACGAGGAATGGGCAGCAGAGCGTTTGATCGACAGCATTATTTAACGCGTAACCAAAACATGCGCCGCAAACCAAACATCACTCACCGAGCTGGCTTGAGACGCAACGCAACTTCGAAGCGAAGTGGCCTGGAAACCCGGACGCCCTCCTACGTACAGCTGATCGCACTTCAACCTCTCTCACCCGACGGACACGGCGCGCGCCGCAGTTTCCCACGGTCAGAGGACAGACACGAGACTGAAACAGTGTTTAGCTCTTCCCGTCTTAAATAGGTATGTGGCTGGCTGTCGCCGCCTGTCTGTCTGCGCGTACCGGCCGGTGGTCTGGTTGCCCTCAACAGCTGAGCGGCCCACGTGACCGGCGAGAAGTTTCCAGTCACGCTCCGTCCCCAGTGCAGCGGCGCTGCCGGGACAACGATGGAAGGACAGTTCCAGGGATCGACTGAGAGGAGGCGTGGGGGGAAGCGAAGGGGGCGATCATCCCACGATGGCCTGCGCTTGAGCCACTTGCGATCGCACGGGGCCCTGCGCATTGCTCTTGGCTCCTTTATCCTCAATTCTTATCCTCAAACTATTATCCTCAATCCTTTCCATTTGCTTGAGGGGCCCTGTACGGGATCTTATAAGTCACTTTAATAAGGCATTATGTGTGCTCAAGGGACCTCTGCAGTGTTACATGGCTCTTCCCATTCGTTTTCATGTGCGGAAGGCCCTATCTTTTGGACATAACCCTTACTTGCTGCCCTTAGAGTTTGGCACTCACGAAAGGTCAGCACGGGCCCCTGCACTGGGTCTTGGGTATTTGGTCTGCTCACTGAACCTTGCGCTGTTGCCGGGAGTCTGTATGTAGACCTGCCGGAGCACCCTTGATCGCCCAGGTGCTCCTCACCGGGAGTCTGTAAATGGCCTGCCGGAACACGTTTGATCACCCAGGTGCTCCCTATATTGGCATTGGGTCCTTGCCATTTGCTCGGAAGGTGCTGGATACTTGTCGGGGACTATATTCTAACATAATGAGCACTCTATGCCAGGGGTGTGGTTTCCTATTCACTTCAGGAGGGGGCATCAGCCCCTCACAACTTGGGGTCTAGCCCCCCTCCCCCCAACTTTGGGAAGAAAGTGAACACAATTTGCGGAGAAGGGAACACAATCTGGGGAGAAACTTGTTTGTTGGCATATTCTAGGGGGTAGATTGAGCCATTGCTTACTGCTCAGCCTCCTCCCCCTAACTGCTCTTGTGAAACTACGCCCTTGCTCAATGTTCAGGGGTCCCTCTGTTCCCACGTGTTGACCTTTACGGAAATCCCTACGTTCCCATCAGATGCACTTTCTGCTAGCCTGTCTCGACACTACCGATCGTTAAGAGGCTCGTCGCATTCGTCGTTGGTGCGCTCTATTTGGTCGGAGGACGCTCAGTTGTTTCTGGGCCCCCAAATGTTCATCCGCAAAGCCCCACCGATCACACAGCGATACTCAACATTGACCTTGGGGTCCACCTGTTTGCTGGGAGGCCCTGCGCTCCTGACGGGGCACTCCCATATGTTACAGTTTTGGGGCACTTCCGATCGCTCAGCGGTGCAGTACATGGTCTCTAGTTGTTCTCGCTTGCTCAAAGTACCCGGCACTGTTGACCCGGCGTTGACCGTGTGTGACGATCCACGCTATGTGGCGATTTACGCTACGTGGCGATTTACGCTATGTGGCGATCCACGCGATGTGGCAATCTTGATATTGAATAGCTAAACCCTATAGGTAATGTGCCATTGAAGTCTATGAACAACTCTAAAAGGCGTCATAAAACACTAATTTCTGCGTATGATAGTTACCACACGGACGTTGACCGCCGCCTGGTGTTAATTGCGGCAGTCGTTTACGCCCGGTCTGCGGAGACTGCAACGCTGTGTGGCGTTTTGCCCCAAAGGTTATAAGCGTGCATGTTCACCTTTATGCCACTATTGTATATGCCACTATATATATATATATATATATATATATATATATATATATATATATATATATATATGGGGCGGGGTGGGGGTGTACTATGTTGCCCTCAGGGTCTTTTCAGAAGGAATCACTCGGTGAGGAAGGGGGAAGGGGGAAGGGATCCCAGACCCACGCTCACCGGGACATTCAACCCCAGATCGACCGGAAAACAACACCCACAGCTTTCGCATTGTGGTGTAAACTCTTCAGTGAAGCTATCTGAGACTTCAACTTTATTTATGTGAGTTTTAGCTCAGTCCGACTTCTGTACTGTGGTGCAACGGACGTCAAATCGCTCAGTACATTGGAATCTATACCTTGTTTTTAGCGTTAGCAGTGTGAATGTGAATACATGTTTAGTGCAATGTGAATGTGAATACATTGTCAATACAATACATGCTAAACATGTGAATACATGTTTAGCAACCTTCATCTTCCAAACACCGGAGCGAGCATGCCCGTGCAGTGATCTCTTCAAGATGGTCTAGAGCGGTCAGAAGTCGAGGCCAGCGCCGTTCCATCACTATCACAGCGGATCGGAGCAGCGGTACCAACATGAGAGCGCGCGCGCAGCAACATCCATCCCCTCCTCGCCAAACACTCCAGTGTGGTGTTGTCAGGGCGTGAGCGTGAAGGCACGGGATTTCGAAATTTATCCGAAAGGGTTTCCATGACATCGATTTGAATTCACGTGCCACCAGAGCCCTGGTTCTTCGAGCGCCTCCGCACGCAATTAATTCGCGCCAATTCGTTGCGCTTTGGCCCGGAACCCAGACATATGACCTGCTCGGCCCACTTGTCAAGCCTGAGGCGCATGAAGGCCGGACTGAGCGCCGCCTGGTTCGAAGCTGATTGACTGATTTTTGAGAGGGGGGGGGGGGGGCAGCAGGCAATGAACTCCAGGCCGGGGATACAAAAGCATGGAGAAATATCGACCTCCCTGATATCCAAGTGGCCAAATATTGAAACCCTTTGGAGGGCAGTGACGCCCTTTCCACGCAGCAACGGCCCATTGTGGTGTTGCTGCGAAAGATCTCGGGGAGATGTCAAAAAGAACGTGTGCGCGGCAAAGTCTTCAGCATTGAACCTGGCGGGTAGATTGACGCCAGTCGGTCTATGAAAGTCAAAAAATCAGTGCTCGGCGTGTTGAAAACAGCTATTCATTTTCTCAGCCAAGACCAATGAGATCGCGCTGTAGGGAAGCTCAGCTCCTCGGCATTGTGAAATGGCGTAAATGGTCAGCATGGATGTCACTGCTTAGGTCTGGTGTTCATTCTTAACTGGCGCGCTATCCAGATCCATTTCGTTGCAGCAATGCGCAGCGGTAGTGATAACGTCAGGTCTTTTCTGATCTTCGTTTCAGCAGAAACTGAGCTCTGAGGCCCTCTGATCCGTGACAAACGGCATAAGAAAGCTTTGTAAGCTATCTGCGCATTGGTCACGGCCACTGGTTGCCACGAATTTTACTAATGTGCCGAGCGACCGGGACAGAATATACGCTCATCGTGCTCGGCTGGCGAAGCACGCTCCGTGACAACGAGTCCACAGTGGGAGACCGATTGTATAGCAATACCTAGCGTGGAAGCCACAGAACGAGATCAGTGCATACTTGAAAGTCAGTCACGCCAAAACAGAATAATGCTGACACCCTGAAATCTGGATTCTACATGGACGAATACGGATTGAACGGAATCGAACGAAAGCATCAATTTCGTACTCAGCTTCAGGGGTGGCCCAACACCCACCCGGTGTGAGAAGTCCTTCAGTGTTTGCATCGAGCTGTAACGCTCTAACGTGCGTCTTTACAATTCGTCCCTGCCTTATTCCTGTGATAAGCTTGTTTTCGTGGGGGGTTTGTGACCCCATAGTCTCACACCTGAATCAAGCTGTTAGTTCGTTCCGATTTGCTCCTTTTACGACAAAATTACGAAAGCTCAACCGTCACAGGTTAAAGTTCGCGAAGAATCTTCAAACAGAAACAGAAGGCAGGTATGACTCCAAGATCATGTCATCTGAAAAACATTCACATGTTTGCAATGGCTCATTCAGCAGGCTACCTATAACAGCAGCTGTCAGAACCCACGACTTATCAAACACAATACGCTGTCACGTCGGGGCGTCCTTCGGGGAGGACGCACGATGACACGAACCAGTCAATGTACGTACAAGGCTGCTCCTGCCCGGCCAGCGTCGCCGCGCTGTACGGTCGCCACAAGGCTGACTCCCAGCACGGGCGGAGTGGGGTAGTGGGTCAGACGGAAGCGGGGTCACCAGTGTCGAACGCGATGCGACCTTCGATGGGCCCGCGCAAGGTCTCTGTGACAGAAGCAGCGGTCTCACTAGTTAGTCACGGCAGCAGGGCCAGGGGCAAAAGGGGGACGGGGCACAGAGACAGACCAGAACCAGTCAGGTTCCAGACCAGAACGTGCGCCCGCACGACTGCGCGCTCCAGCTGTCGATCACGAGACACGGCGCACGCACTGACTCACCGGCCATGGCCGGAGCTCTGGGAAGCGCAGCAGATGGGCTGGCAGGGGGGGCGGCCGTGGTAAACAGCGGTTAGTGGCCAGTGTTCTGATGACATTTGAAGACGAGACATCATCATTTTAGTCAGATATTATACTGACCGTGCGGTGCGCAAGCAGGTGCGCACAACGACTCTCAACCAATGACAGTCACTTTTCATTGTTAACTTATGTGCTGGCAGTGGAATATGCAGGATTACGCGATGGCCCAGAGGACACGGGGAAACTCCACGTTTTTACTAAACACCCCATTTAAGCGCGTCGCACGCGCGTGAAATTTCTTGCTGCGTGCGTACCACATCGCATGTTTTGGTCTAATTGTCTTTACACGTCCAACGTTTTTTTGGCTGTCGACGTTTCATGACGCGCGTATTATTGCCGCACATATTTATATGATCGCCCCAATGGTCCCGGTGCCTCCCTGAACCCGTTCTTATGTGATGGTGTGCAGTATGTGACATAATTATGCTGTATCTAACCCTTTATCGGGCACAATCTCCAAAAGCATATTGTCCTTTTTAACGTAATGTGTTGCAGCGGTGTCTGTTTGCGTGCCACAATCACATATACGCATATCTTGCTTCGTGATTCAGCCCTTGTTAAGCATTGCTGGCTGCGAAAGCCCTGATCCTACTACCCTTACACGGCAGCTAAGGGCTTGGCAC